GGCATCATTCTTCCTGATTTCAAACTATATTATGAAGCTATATTATTCAAAACAGTATGGTATTGGCATAAAAACAGACACATAAATCAATGAAACAGAATAGAGAGCTCAGAAATAAACCCACGCATATATGGTCAATGAATTTAAGACAAAGGAGCCAAAAGAATATACGAGGGGGAAATGACAGTCTCTAATAAGGGATTTTGAGAAAACTGGACAGCCACATGCAAAAGACTCAAACTGGACCACTATCTTACACCATACACAAAAATCAACTCAAAGTGAATTAAAAACTTGAACTTAAGACCTGAAACCATAAAACTACTAGAAGAAAACACAGGGGCTAAGCTCCTTGACATTGGTCTTGACAATGATTTTTTGGATTTGGCACCAAAAGCAAAGAAAACTGAAGCAAAAATAAACAAATGGGAGTACATTAAACTAAAAAAGTTCTGCATTTCACAGGAAATCATCAACAAAATGAGAATGGGAGAAAATACTTGTGAATCACATCTCTGTTAAGGGGTTAATATCCAAAATATATAAAGAACTCAAGAACAAAAGTCTGATTAAAAAATGAGCAAAAGACCTGAATAGACATTTTCCAAAGAAAACATACAAATGGCCAACAGGTACATGAAAAAGTGTTTGACAACACTAATCACCAGAGAAATGCAAACCACAATGAAATATCACCTCACACCTATTAGAATGGCTATTATGAAAAAGATAAGAAATAACAAGCGTTGGCAAGGATGTGGAGAGAGAATAGAGAAGTCTTACGCACTGTTTATAGCAATGGAAATTGGTGCAGTCACTATGGAAAACAATATGGATGATCCTCAAAAAATTAAAAATATAACTACCCTATGATGCAGGAATCTCACTTCTTGGAACATACCCAAAGGAAATGAAAACAGGATATTGAAGAAATATCTACATTCCCACGTTCATTGCAGCATTATGCATAATAACCAATATATGGGAACAACCTAAGTGTCCATCAATGGATGAATGGATAAAGAAGATGTGAGGTACACACACACACACACACACAATGGAATATTATTCAACCATGAGAAAGAAGGAAATCCTGCCATTTGCAACAATATGGGTGGAAACTGAGGGCACTATGCTATATGAAATAAGTCAGGCAGAAACAGACAAGCACTACAGGGTATCATTTATATGTGAAATCTAAAAAATAGTCAAACTCATAGAAATAGAGAGTAGAAAAGTGGTTGCCAGGCGCTGCGGGTGGAGGAAATAGGGAGAGGTTGGTAAAAGGGTACAAATTTTCAGCTATAAAATGCATAACGTCTGAGGATCTAATGTAAAACATAGTGACGATAGTTGCTATAGTTAATAATATAGTGAAATTTAGTAAGAGAATAGAACTTACATGTTCTCACCAAAAAAATAAATATGTGTGATACTGTGTTAATTAACTAGATGGGGGTTATCCTTTCCCATGTACACATATATCAAATCACTACGATATACACTTTAAATATATTACGATTCTATATGTCAAATATACCTCAATAAGTGAAAGAAGCAATCTGATAAGGCTGGATGATTCCAACTATATAACATTCTGGAAAAGGCAAAACTATGGAAGCAGTAAAAAGATCAGTGGTTGTCAGGGGCTTGGAATGGGAGGGAGGGATGAGGAGGCACAGAAGATTTTTAGGGTAGTGAAATACTCCGTGATACCTGTGATATCATGATGATGGATACATGTCATTATACATCTGTCCAAACGCATAAAATGTACACCACCAGGAGTGAACTCTAACATAAACTATGGACTTTGGGTGATTATGATGTGTCAATGTAGGTAGGTTCATCAGCTATAACAAATGTACCATCTGGCAGGGGATGTTGATAACGGGGGAGGCTATGCATGTGCCGGGGCAGGGAGCATACGGGAAATCTCTGTACCTTCCCCTCAATTTTGCTATAATCCTAAAACTGCTCTAAAAAAAAAAGCCTTATTTTAAAAATAAAATAAAATGAATTAAATTATTATAACAAAAAGAGAATAATAAGTGTAATTGATTTGGGCACATTTGAATACTGTCATGCATCCCATAATGACGTTTTGGTCAACATTGGATCACATGTACAATAGTGGTCTCATAAGATTAGTACCATACAGCCTGGATGTGTAGTAGGCTACACCATCTAGGTTTGTGTAATACATTCTATGGTATTCGCACAACAATGCAATCACCTAACAACGCATTTCTCAGAATGTGCCCCTGTCGTTAAGCAATGCATGACAGTATGTAATTCCTAAGTCTGATACGGTACTCACAAATAGAATCTCTTTCCAAAAAATTCACTGCTGCTATTGGAGGTGACTATTACACCAACCCCTTACTCTAAAAATCACTTGTGAGAGGAGGAATTAAGGATATATCCTGCCACTCCAGAAAGAGCTGTATTACATGGGAACCACATGGCCTCAGTTCATAGGGGAAGCTCTTTGTAATGGAAGAATGATAGCTAATAAGTGTGAAGGAAATGGCAGTTAGGGAAATCATCATTTTGTCATTCTGAATGAAATAACTGATTCAGATTCAACGCATGCTAAAATCACGAGGTGAAAAGGCAGTGAGGAGCTGAGTATTCACATTGGTACAAAAATATTACTTCCTATTAATTTACTAGTCCCAAGGGGAAAAACATAACTTTACAATGGAAAGCTCTGGCTGTCACCACCTTATTCACGGGACAATACTTAACATCACTAACAGTGGAACAACCAGATATTATACGGTCCCTGGCGTAATTAAAATGAGGAACACAGTATCACGTAAAATATTCTGGCCTTTCAACGGTCCTGGCTTCATGTGGGGGTCTTGGGATTATCTCTTTATCGCAAGGAGGCCTCGTGCCTCTGATTCTATCCAGCATGGAGGTTAAGCCCCGAGTCCCTCATACGAAGGTTGGGGACTCATCTCTGCCTTTTATCCTCTTGGGAACAAGATTCCCACAGGGCGACCGGGACCCATTTTATCTGGGATGTTTGCATGTATATTCTTAAACTGAATTTTTGCTGCAGCTTTTTTTCTATGCCACAGGGCCTGGCCCCATGCTACAACTTTTTTTAGGCTGCCTCATTGGATTTTAACATCAGAGTTATGCTTATATTCCATAAAACGAATTTGAAACCCTTCCCAATACAGTAACGACCTGAGATGACCAGCCTGCAAGTACACAAACTGGGATATACCCCCTGTCCCCAAACAACAGCATGCCGAAGTTCTCATCTTGGGACAGAGACGGGGAGTAAATGGAACACATCTTACCATGTTAAATACTTTCACAGTACTTATGGTGTTGTGCTCCATATTATTTTTTAGAGCAATGGGATTGATATTTAAACATAAGAAAAAGTGGCCCAGCTATGGCCACTTCAGGAAGCAGCTTCCTCAAAGACTGCTGTGCTGTACACAGTCCGGTTGGCAGATTCCAAGTTCTTGGGCATCACTTCACAGTGGGCAAGGACAGCAAGCTACCTTCTTCCTGCTACTCCCTGAGAGCTCAGCCCTTCATTCCGTGTCTGGCACGTGACGGACACTAATGACTATTTATTAAGCGAATGAACGAATGAATAAATATGTCAATTCTGCCTTGAAGAAATGTAGCATACACCCGTGACTTCACATCTCGCTACTGCTCTACCCAAGGCCATTATGGAGTCTCATCTTTCCTTCCTTTAATTTTCCTCCACACTACAGGTTTTTGTTTTCCTAAGCAAGCTGGTCACTGCCCATTGCTTCTTGAGAATTGCCAATGGCTCTCGAATGCCAGACTCTTCAGAGAACTCTGTCTACTTTTCCAGCTTCATCTCCAGTTTTACAAACTATCCATGTGAGCCTCGACTCTGAATAGGCCCTGGAATTCACACTCGCTTCTGCACTTTTCCATCCACTCCCTGTACGCATCTTGTAAAATCTCCCACTACAAACCCTCAAATGTCACTTCCTCTCTGACTTCCTGACCCCATACAAGACTTCCTTCCTTACTCTCTCCCCATAGTATTTTAAACATAATTCTTTTAAAGTTTAGTTCTAGTTTAGTCTTTACATTAATTACACTTGAGTTGTTTACCTCCATTTCAGACTAATTCCTTAGAGCAAAGATCAATTATTCATCTTTCACACTAAATTATTATAATAATGCTTGGTACTCCTTAATGGGAGCTCAAAAAGGCCTAAGTCCAATTTCTAACACTAGACAATTTCAGTTGCTATACAAATATACCTCTCCACACTAAACTGGAACCCCAATCATGGCCTTCTCCCCTAGGAAATGTGTTCTGAGTTAGTAACAGAATCTCTCCCAAGAGGAACTTCCCAGACACTTAATATCACATTCATTTCTGGGTGTTTATGGACCCCAATAATCAAATTCCACCTCCCCAACAGTGTGGCTGGAAATTGAGTTTCCCTTCTCACAAAATAGGAAAATTGGCAGAGGAGAAAGAAATCAGGCTATGAGGACACAAAATCAAGTTCTAATACTGGCTCCCACCCTTAGCTTAAGTTAAGTTAATACTTAAGCTCTAAGGCTCAATTTACCAATTTTTAAAACGTGGTGAATGCATAGGTACTTAGCCAATTCGTTTCCTTGCTTTGTTGCAAATTAATAAAGCACCTAATGCAATTGAGACATAAAAATTTCTTTTTAATTACAACTTGGGTCATGCAACAGGCAAGGAATCTCCCCCACCACTATCTCATGAAAGTCAGGTAAGGCAGTCGTCACCTGTCACTTGCAAAAGGAACAAGGCAGTATTCATAATTCAAATACTTGCAACATGGAGACTCTTTGTCCTTAAAAGTAAACTCTGAATTCTTTTAAAATGTTTTATACATTCTTTATCAATTTATTCAAATCAGTATTTTACCTTTAATGTCCTACGTTCATAGTAGTGTGACTGTTGGCCTTCTTTTCACAAGTGTATCAACAGATTCAGGAGACTCATGTGATCAGAACTCACTTTATTTCCTTCTATATGAATGGACTCTTTGGGAATACATCCACCAGATTGTGCCTGACATAGCAATAAGATTCTTTTCATTAATAATGGCCATAACTTTAGAATCTAAAATCAATTATAAACTATTACCTTCCAGCTTCAACTCCTATCAACCGATAAACCAATATAACGAAAAACAAGCTTCAGTTTTCTCCAGATATTTAATGCAAGATGCAGTGTAGCCATATTCCAGAAAATGCGATTATCAGTAGGGGGATTGCAGCCCTACTGAACCAAACAAATCAAAGTATTGTGATACAGCCTTATATAGAGGCATTTACGCTCTTAATTGCTATAATGCATACAGTTTGGTAAGCAAGGTCATCTCCGGTGCTTTTTTTTCACTTCAGGAGATTATATATTTTACAGATGAGACACCCAATCAACTCCACTGGTTTCAGAGTTCTAAGTATTATTTTTACTATAGAACTTCTTTTTCCTTCCAATTAAGATGGAAAGACCCAGCCTTTGGTATAAATAACTTATTCCCATTACAGTATTTAAAGGAGAGCATCAGTGTTCATTGTCATTTGTGTAGCCTTTTGGTAAGGGGGTGGCTAGAGCCTCTTTGCTCTCAGTGAGTGCTCTGGGCTGATGGATAAACACACTAAATTTAACACCTTGGTTGTTTGCAGCTCTGACAAAACCACTATTGGCAGTCATCGTGATGGCTTTTAGGGTGTCTCCCGTCCCAAAAATCGTTAATGAACGGCTATTGATTTTTGAACTGGCCACGAGTCTCAAGGCACGTTCAGAAGGCTGGTCTGGCACCACATTAATTCGCTTAATTAGCACAGTGGCCCTCTCTCTCTCCCCAGGTCCTCCTAAGGTATCTAGAATAGACTGAAAGTCCTTGACAGCAGATTCACAAGCAAATAACTCCTTGTCCTTCATGAATGCCTCCAGCTGTGGGAGAACCTGCTCTTTCCTCTCCTGCTCTGCTTGTTCTGTGAGGACTTTTTCTTTGAAGATAAAGTGGCAACCTCCATAGCTGAGGGCAGACACATATGTGATTAAAGTAGTAATGTCCAGATTTACTTTATTGCACACATCGACCTTAATCTCTGTTGGAAAGGCAACGCTTGCCAGTATATTTTCTCGGTCTACCCTGGTCACCTGCCAAAGTTCAGGGCCCTCGTCATCGGATTCGCTCTCACTGGGCTGCACCTCTTCAGGGTGACCTAACAGGGAGTTAACGGCCACGATGTCTCCCCTCACAGATATGCCCATTTCCTTCAGCTTCTCTGCCATGGGGCTGGAGACACTGTTGTAAAATGCAAAGATGATGTGCGGATTGCTATACTGCACTGGCTGCTGGCGACTGGCCTGGAGGAAGTCTTCAGCCTGCTCAATGATGCTTTTGTCCCCATACTGGCCCCTGCCCAGCCAAATGTTATGCAGAGCTTCAGCCTTTCGGCCAATGGCTTTCACCCAAGTATGACCACCATTTGCAACTACATCCACCACAAGGGTCTGCTTTTCTCCCAAGGTATCTGTGTAACCAAAGACATGAAGAACACTAATAACTTCTTCCAGGTTTTCAGCGGATTCCACTATGGCTCTTAGGTGTGTTAGATTAGTGCTCTGTAAATGGGATTCCTTAATAGCTACTTTCCCAGCTTCTACTTTCTGTAAGAACTTTAATTCTGCCTTCAGTTTGCTACACAGTTTTGCACCCCCTTCTATGCCACCTTTCCTTGATCTAGAAAGTGATTCTGCTCTCTTGATCAGTTCTTTGGCTATGGCGATTCGTTCACAGAGCATGGAGTGTGCAGACATGCTGAGAGCATTATTTCTTCCCTGCAAAAAGAAAAGAAACAAGGCAAATTGAAACAGTCCTCAAAAATTACGGCAATTCTTCTCTGAGGATTATGAAACCAATGTAGCCACAAAGCTTACAGAGCCCGAGCCTATGAACCTGGGCTTCTGCAAGTCTGATTTTGGAGTGCCTGCCTCCTCTGGCAGCTAAGGAGAAGATGATGGCCATCCTTTTGAACTTTTCTTTAGGTAGGCTGGACTCTGACGCACTTCAGATCTTCACGTCTTCAGTGTGAAGATCATGGGGTCCACAGCACGCCCCAGCTCAGGACACAATACAGGAGTTAGCAATCTGCTATATAAGGAATTCCCTATCAGCGGCCTTGCTCTTTGGTTATAAGGAAATTTTGATACAAGGCTCTGAAAGTAAAAGAGAAAATAATTTAAAAAACATCCACAGAGACCAGCTGGTTAGCAAATTGTCCAAAGGCAGAGCGGTCCCCCTAACTGAGCACGCGAAGCCTGTCTCCCCCTTCCCGGTTCAGGAGTGGGGCCCGGGTACCCGGCCGCCTCGTGACGGCCCAGGGCCGCGGCACACCCGCCGAGGTACCGAGACGGCTCGTCCCTGCACTGGACGTCAACCCGGCACATCCGGAAAGGCCGAAGGAGCCCCCGGCGCCGCGCCCGCGCCCACTCAGGAGACGCCCGAGGAGGCATGAACTCCCCGGGCGCCCGCGGCCTTCCGGGAGGAAATCGGCCCTCGCGCCCTGACCGGTGCGCCTGCCCGGCCGGCCCTCGGCAGCTCGGGCTCCGGCAGCCCCGCGGCCAACGTCCGGGCGCGGAAACCCGGGCCTCGGCAGGGGCGCAGGCCCGCCGACCCCACCCCCAGGCCGGCCCGGCCCCCGGGGCCTCGGCAGCGGCGCCCCGCTCCCCCGACTCCCCCCGCTCCCGCGGCCCCGGCTCCTCACCGGCAGCGCCCAGGACGGCGAGCGCGAGCAGCGGGCACGTGCGCGCGCGAGGCCCGGCCCGCTGGGAAGCTCGCCCGGCGGCCCCCACCCCGCAGGCCGCCGCGAGCACCGCCCCGTCACGTGACCGCGCGGGACGCCGGGCCCGCGATTCCCAGGCGGCAGCGCGGTCCCCGGCGGGCGGACGCCGGCGCGGCGGCCATGTTTGCTGAGGGCGCCTGGCCGCTCCGGCTCGTGCCCCGCGGTCCCCGGGAGGAGAGGGGGCGGAGCTCGCAGGGCCGGGCCGCCGCGCCCCGCACCTAATCCTGACTGGCCTTTGCCTGGGGCTGGAGCCGGGGCGGCATTTGGCGGAGAAAATCTCCCGGTTGCGCCCCATCGCCTTGCTGCGACCCAAGCACACAGTTCTGCTCTCAAACTCAAACCCCTGCCGGGAACCAGGCCCTGCTAGTCTTAGAAAAAATTTTGGCTTATTGTAACAGAGGAAGAAACAGGCTGAAGAGGCTTGTCAGTTACACAGTGCTAAGTGCTGGGGCCGGGATTTCTGACCCCGAGCCAAAGCACCTTCCTCTGTACCATCCTGGGCTCTCCCTAGAAAGTGTGACATTATACAGATGTGCTGCCTTTCCGAGGAGGACAGACGATCCGGTGGCTTCCGAGAAGCTGGGAGCTTTATATTAGCCTAGTGGAGTGTCCAGTCACCCAGAAAGGTTAGGGCTTTGATAAAGCAAGACTAATTTTAACAAAGAGGACTTCAAATTACAACGAATCCTGTGTATACCTGCTGCTACTTAAATGACAGTAAAGGGATGAAAAAGGAATACCCCCCCCCCGACACACACACACAAACCACACAAAAACACAGGAGATGACTGCACAAGAGATATGTCAACACATTTGTGGAAGACAGACAGCAATAATACCACTTATTCAATGCTTACCATATGGAAGGCATTGTTTTAAGTGTTTCTCACATATTAATTTCCTCAATCCTTTTAACAACCTAAAAGGTAAATACATTTCACAGGTTATTCTGCCACAGAGAGGTTATTTGAACGCAGGCAGCCTCTGCAGCTGGAGGAGCTAGCAGAGGGGAGAAAACTGTCTGCATCAAGTCACTCACAAAGCAGACGCCCAGAAAGGCTTTGGAGCTGCAGGTGCCTGGAAGGCCGAAGGGAGAGGAGCAGAGCGGCAGAAGTGAAAATGGGCATTGCTTAAGCCTGGATAAGGAACAGACACTCAAGTCCTCTCTTCCGTCCAGGGCAGCTGAGCCGTTACCCATCCTTCCCCAGGCAGAAGACTCGAGTTTATTATGCTAAAGATAGGGAATCAGCGAGGTTCTAGACACATGAAAGGAGTGGAAGTTTTCCTACTACATGATGAAATGCTATGGGCCTCTTCTCTGCCTCTCCTAGAACGCTGGCGCTCCTCCTCGCGCCCCGCTAGGCCTCTCCCAACCCTATTTTTCTCTGGAGAAACTGAGCAAAAAAGGAGAAATGGTTTCAGCATTCAGATACTCAGCATCTCCCAGTAAGTAGGTTCGGGACTCACAACTCACAAATGCAGTACCTTCAAACATTTTTCTGTTTGGAATTTGAAAAAAACAGAAAGGAGAACAAAATGGTTTTTAAAATTATTCTTTAACTAGCATCCTCAGATAAAAGATATTTCAGCCATGAATCAAGAGGAGGATTTTTTTAAGAGGTGATAGAGTATAGGAAAGAGTTCTTCAAAATTAAAAATGATATCCCAAATCTTAAAACATCAATAGAAAAGTAGCAAGAGTGGGTAAGAATCTACTAGAAAGTAGAATAAAAAGACAGATGAAAAACACAGGGGAAAAAAAAGGGTCCAGTATCGAATTAATAGGAGTTTTAGAAATAAAAACAAAATGAAGCGGAAATTTCTCAAAGAAATACTAGAAAATTAACCAAAAGTGAAAAATCTGTTTCTACTATGAAAGGGGCTGAGCGCTCAGCACAGTTATTCAGAAACCTACACAAAGGCACATCCTTGTGAGATTTCAGAACACTGCAGACAAAAGATCCTAAGAGCTGCAGAGGGGGAAAAGTTATAAACAAAAGATTTAGCATCACACATATATACTAGCATTAGGCGTCTCATCAGCAACACTGGAATCTAGAAGGGACTAGAGTAATGCCTTCAAAATGTGGAGATAATTATTTCTAACCTAGAATTTTTAAACCCAGCTAATCAAAAAAGAGACAATAAAGATAGTTTCAAACATGCAACTAGCTTGGATTAGAGCAGGAGGACAAAGGTTCCAAGAGAGAAACTTCTTGGAATGGTGTGTGGAGGGGAGGGTTGGAGGGTTGGGGCAAGGACTGTTAATTTCATGAAGAATACGCAGAGGGTTTTACACTCCTGTTGTAACTGGGAAAAATTAGTGACAGCTACACAGACAGCAAAGCAAACAAAAAAGTGAGGCAGTATCACCTCCAGGAAAATTTAGGAAACATAACCATAGTATACTTACACAGCCATAACCACCTTTTAAACTGAACACTGCGATCTAATTACATTGATGCAGAGAGCAGAAGTGGGGGCGGTGTAAGAGTTCTAAATTCTCATCGTGCAGAATAGTCAGTTTACATGGTGGCTACACTTCAGGAATCAGAAACCACCATATGAAACGTGGAGGCCCGTACCTGATAGAATACCTAAAAAAGTTACAAGTGATGAAACTCAGGGACATGGCCTTTGATAAAGGGTTAAAGTTATCTAACTTTTAAAATATGTTCATGTTTAGGAAGCTATCACTTTCTCGGCAGCCAGGTATTGCTGGTTCTATAAGGTCCTTGGGAGCAGGGTCTGAATTAAAGGAACCACGCAAGGGAATGTGACAATACAGGACCCTGGACTGGGTTTCAGGAAATTAGAATTCTAAACCAAGGGAGCTACCAACTCTTGCAGGTTCTCGGGCAATTCACTGAGTATCAGTTGGCATTTCTTTACGAGCGCTGAGAGCTGCCTACAGTGCAAGGAGACACCTGATAAAGAGGTGAGGTCAAAGACTGAGAACTGGGGTTTCAGTCCATGCACATAATTGAGCCATCAATGAAAAGTCCTTTGATCACCCTCATCACTTAATCAGTGCCCAAGGAATCAGCACTCGATAAAGGTCACTGTTAGTCTTCTTCTGTATTTTCCCTTTCCTTTCTGACTCCCTCCTGCTCCCACATCTGTGAAGTTTAAACATTTCCATGTTTCATTGCTTATAACTGTTTTGCAAACTTAAATTCAAGGTTCAGTGAGGAACTGGAAAAGAGAAAGGAAAGAACAAGTGGAGGCAAAATCTTTAAGAGTAAGAAGATATAAACTGAGCCAAAAATAGAGAGGGGCCACAAACATTAGGGGCATTATGAAACCTAAGTAAGATTAAAAGCAGCTAGAATCCGCAGGCTAGAAACGACTGAAGAGTTTTCGAACGTCTAGGGACGCATGCAATGGGGGTTGTGAGACGAAAGAACTGAGTTTCCCAGGAACTGGGACAAAAAGCAACAGCTTAATTTTAAGGTCAATGAAAAGAATAAACTGAGAACAAAGGGAGAAGTGTTCTAGGCAACTTCAGTGAACTGGGCTTTGTATTTAATGGGGCAAGAGACAGGGAAAAGACACAAATCAACTTCAGCTAATCTTCCCCCTTTGATTCTGTAGGACTTACTCTTAGCACCCAGTAAGCACCTCCACATGCTTTCCTTCTGTCTTAAGTATAAAGGCCTTTACTGCTCCCTTCGATTTATAGACTTCTGGCATCCTCTGGTTTTTTAACACTGGACATTACAGAGGGCCTAAGCAAATTCAAAGGGAGCTAAAACTTAGAGTACTTACCGATTAACCATGTCAGGCCTTTCACTTGTCTTCTCAAATTTAGCCCTTAGAAAATCCTCTGAGATAATTACCTTGTGCAGTCACTCAGGCAGCAAGCGAAGAGTTGAGACCTGACTCCAAAAACCATTCCATTTTCCCAGTACGCTCTCGTTCTAGTGTGCTGGATTCCCAACATACCAAAAGCCCATCAAGAATGATTATTAGAGGAAGACTTCAAGACAAACCTCTTGAAATAGAGGTCAAGTCGGCGTCTCCCATGTCTCATAATAACGCTTCTGTCACCTATAATTTTAGATAGGGGTGATAGAGTAATAGTGGGTAGAACTGGGAATTCTGACAAAAATGCTCCAAGATAAGGCTCTTTTCCCCTAAATTTGGCTAAATCTTAATCAAAATCTTTTGAGCTACATTTAAATCATGGGAATGCCTACTATCTCTTTGTTGATAAGAATAATTATGTTCACAGACTCTATGTTTTGTGAGCGAGACCAAGGACATGATTTCTCTTATCCTAGGATGCCTTAAAAAACACAGAAACAAAACTAAGCACCTCGTTATATGCCTTCACATATAACGAAAAGAGTTCAGACACCCCATTATTTGCTTGCTTGTATGGACTTCATGTGCAGCGAAGGTTCTGATTAAACTGAGACTACACGAACGAGGGAGAGCCTTAAGCCATAGTTTTGACGCTTAAGTCTAAGTATTTTGCTTCCAGCACTCACGTTCATCCTCGAGTTAAAAACGTCTAGTAGAATCTAGGGGGCTCTTTTTAAATACATTTACCTAACTGTGATGGAGAAACCAACGAGAAGCAGACCACTTTCTATTTACTTACATAATCTATCTCCAATAGGAGACTGTTTGGCTTAGCACTCTTCACAGCTCCAGTGCAGGCTCACAGAGCATCCTAGGGTCTCACTGATCCACAGCTAATGGTGCCTAAAACACACCTATGCTTCCTACCGTGTCTCACGAATCCG